CATTGTATGGCCTCCAGGCTTCCCCTTGTGTTCGGCACATTGCTCACCTCGCTGCACATTAAACTGCGATATTCAATTTAATTCAATTGGCTGTTGCTCAATTTTTCCAGTTCAATCATTCGGTGCCACCTCAGAGCAAATCATCTATTAGAAACTTTTACAGGCAACATGGCAGCAGTTCATAACTGTGTCCGAGGCACCCCGGTGTGTTAAACTGTGTCCGAGGCACCCCGGTGTGTTAAATGGGCACGCTTTGGTCCAAGTCCCGCTCAGCCATGGTGTGCTGCAAGGAATCCATTCACAATAGGGAATATTTTTTAGTAGCACATCCAGGGCTGGCGCCATCATTAGGTGAACTAGGCAGCCACCTAGGGCACACTGCCATCTAGGGCGCAGCCACGGCCGCTGGTTTCCCTACTCTCTGCCATGGCCTGATCAGGGGGGTGTGATGTTGTGGGCTACACCCTCCCAGATTTCAGTTGTACCTGCCCCCCCCCCCCCAAACCAGTCTTTCCATGGACACTGTGCCTGGCCGCTGAGCGCCTTCACCCACCCCTGCTCTCATGGCTGGGTCAAGGCAAGAGCAGCCTGGAGCGGTGAAGCCTGTCAAGGAGAAATGACAGGAGAGAGGTGGAGGTGCAGGCTGTGCTCTCTTTTCCTGTCAGTGGAGCGATCCTCCATACAGCAGATGACGCACGATCGCTCTTACATCAGCATTTGTGCTAAAAGGAGGGGGCGGGGATTTAGTTAAGGTGGGGGGATTTTATGTTGGGAAGGGTAATTTGGAGGGGTTTTACATAGAGGAGGGATTTGGGGGAATTTGCCCTAGGTTGGGATTGAAGGAAGAGGATTGGTTCTGGGAGAGGGGATTTGTGCTGGGGGAGTTGGGGGGGGAATCTTTGCAATGAGTGGCAATTGAGGGGATTTGTGTTTGAAGAAGGGAATTGGGGGGGTCGTGCTAGGAGGGAGGGATTGGGGGGGTGCCAGGAGAGTGGAGTGGGGGGGATTTGTGTTAGAAGAGGGGGATTGAGGGAGGATTTGAGTTAAGGAGGGGGAAGGTCTGAAAGGAAAATTGTGCTAGTTCATAATGTGATTGGAAAGACATACCTCCCCCCCCCCCCCCGGTTCTAGTTCTCCTGGTTTTCCTTCCCCCTGCTCTCCATCCTGAATAGATTTGATGCAGCAGCCAGCAGGAGAGGAGGGGAGTGCTGCAGGGGGGGGGGGGTTCAGAGGAGCAGGGGAGGTGGACAGCTGAAGAGGAAGGGGCATGGCCAGGAATGACAGCTCTGGGTTGACATTTACTGGAACCAATCCCTGTATTTTCCTCCTGCAGCAGCTGAATGCTGGCGGGAGAGGAGGAGAAGTAGACTTTCAGCTTCTGCAGGAGGATCGGTACCGGCTATGCTGCTCCCGGGGCACATGACCCCCCCCCCCCCCCCCCCCCCCCCAGATTCGGTCCTGAGCAGAATACATGTATGCTTCTTTTGCCCATTACTCAATCTTATGCCGTTTCTAAAGAGTACCAAATATGAAAGGTTCTTGAGTATGTTACGTTGGCCGCAGTCCTAGGAAGGGGGTCCAGGCAGTCTTGTAGAAGGCATCCCATAATATCCAGCAGGTTGAATAGCCTGGCTTTAGTGTTCCCACACTTGGACCTGACCTCGTCACCATAGGATTCTTTGCCATGGACAGGCAGGGCCGGGGCTAGGCTATTTTGCATCCTAGGCAAGACCAGCTACTTGCCCCCCCCCCCCCCCCACACCCAAAGAAAAACCAAAACATTTTTTTAATAACAGTAGAAAACATGAAACTGCTACATTTCTGTTAATTTGCAAAAATAAGCGCCATAAGATGCCACCAGCACCAATATTAAAGACAAAATCTGTGTCCCGGCTGGACTGTATCTGTGGCTGGCAGTGGCCGGGTGACAGTTGATCTGTGGCTGGCAGTGGCCGGGTGGCAGTTGATCTGTGGCTGGCAGTGGCCGGGTGACAGTTGATCTGTGGCTGGCAGCTTGATCAGTTGATCTGTGGCTTGCAGTGGCAGGGTGACAGTTGATCTGTGGCTGGCAGTGGCAGGGTGACAGTTGATCTGTGGCTGGCAGTGGCAGGGTGACAGTGGCAGTGAGTGGAGGAGGATGGATCCACACTCTGACAGATCTCAGGCTGGAATTCCCCGGGCAATGGGGGGCAGTAAAACACTGTGATGGCAGGCAGCTGAACTGAGCAATCCCACACAGTGACAGATCCGACACAACACCCCACCACCAACACTGACACAGATCAGCAGGCACTAGAAGAGCAGGGTGAGGGATGGTGATGATGTCATCACTCACTGACACATTGCACATGTGATGGCCAGCCGGGTCACACTCACACAGACACGAGACATCAGAATCAGACATTACCTTCCTCCGCAGGTGTAGCTCTGCCTCCGCTGATGAATGGGAAGAGAAGGGCTGGAACTCCACAGTGATGAGCAGCCACCAGCCAGCTTGCAGTAAGGGACTGAGTCTGAGAGGAACACTAGAAGGAGTTGCAGCTCAGCTTCTACACTGGCCCCAGACACCCGGCATCTTCCTCTGTCAATTCCTCCCCTCTGCCAACCCTTCCCTCAGCTGAAGGATCATTCATGACATGGTGGCATCCCACACAAGGAGAGTGATGGCCTGTGCTGTGCCCAGGGGCCTGTAGGTGGCAGTGTGCCCTAGGCGGCTGCCTAGTTTGCCTGGTGGAAGCACTGGTCCTGTGGACAGGTAATGGTCAAGCACGGCCTCAGTTTAAAGCCTAATAAAGGTGTTTTTTTTTCCCAGCGAAGGTCATTGAACTGCCTGGAATCAATAATTCATACGGAGTCTGCAGCTGCCATTGAAATATTTATAAATGATAAGGCTAACTTGACAATGCAAAGTTCAGAGAAGAGGCAACTCTGTGACAACCTGACGAGGGTTCCAAAACACGACGGGGGAAGGTAATAAAGCCGGAGCGTGGGGAAAGGCGGTACAGACAGGGGGGGGGGGGGAGACATCACGAGCCAATCTAGCATGCCAAGCTGCTGGCCGCAATCCCGCCGTGATTGTTCGATTGCATAATTGCTTTCCGGAAATGCCAGCCGAATGACAAACCTAATTGGTGTATAAAGCCTGACTCTTCGAATCCTTCAAATATTCTGAGATTTCATGTCGGTACAAATTGCTACACAAACTGTGGAAGGGTCTGGCGAAGAGGGCCAATGACTTCATGACACTTATCTTCCCTTTCAATGGATTTTTATTGAGGATTTCAAAGTACAAAGTTCCAACATGAAGAAGCGCGCGGATGCCAGCAATGCACTATGGGTACCAGAACTGGAGCCACCAATAACAAGGCTGGGCTTAACAATCGTCTATAAATCTGGAAAGAAGAAAAAAAGCAACCGAATGCCTGAGCTCCTGCGCTGGACAATGGACTCCACAATGTCTGTATCCCCACATGGAGTATAGAAGGAATGCAAGCCTTGCTGCCCTCAACGGACCGGGGAAATCCAAAGAGAACTGTATATGAAGAGACAAAAAGAGGGCGCACCGGCCTAGTCCATGACCTTTAAAAATGAGATTTATATATAAAAAGTAAAATACTCACAAAGGAATAAAATCAAATGGAAACATGTCACAAGGGATGCAATGTGGTCCACAACCCCTGAAGGTGGTCTGGTTGGGGACTGTAGACCTCTATATAGCTGGTCACTGACGCGTTTCGAGGTTGTACCTCTTCCTCAGAGCCAGACCATCCTCAGGGGTTTTTGGACCACATTGCATCCCTTTTGACACGCTTTCCATTTGATTTTATTTCTCTTGTGAGTATTTTACTTCTTATATATAAATCTCATTTTTAAAGGTCATGCACTAGGCCCGTGCGAAGAAAAAACTGGTCACCTACCCAGGTCTAGGACTAGGCCCGTGCGCCCTCTTTTTGTCTCTTTATATACAATCATCTATAAATGTTCAGAGATGTGTGCGGTTCGTTTTGTTGCAAATAGAAACTCTCGTTTTTCGGAAATTTGGATGTATCCGAATCTCCGACTGGCAATAGCAATGAATTTCAACGAATCCGAAACAAATTATAACGAAACAACAAAATTCATTCATTTTGTTTTGGATGTTTCAGGCATCCGAAATAACAGAACAACATAACGAATGATCCAAATTCATTTTGGATAGCTGGTTGTGAAGGAGCAGGCGGCCGCCGCGTCTATGGCGACCATGACTCATGATGTGCCGACATTAGAAAGATTATTAAAAAGAAGGGTGGGGGTCGCCCCCAATACATACCAGGCTCTTCGGGTGTGGTATGGATTTTGAGGGGAACCCCACACCTCTATTCAGAGTAGTAAGCTAGTGATTGATAGGTGGCCTATAGCTGTTTTTCAAGGATTCAGGTAGATAGCAGTGACCAGGATGTGCTACTAAATCCAGTTGGAGAGTTGAGTCTGCATCAAGGCGGAGACAAGAAAAAGTAAAGGGAGGTGTGAAGGGGGGGTAGAAAGGGAGTGGCGTGGGGGGCTTAAGGACGCCCGAGCTATGACCTTAAGGCTCAGTGCCCCTGTAGGGAAGAGTAACTTGCTATGGGCATAGAAGTGTGGGTGTAGTATATCCGTGGAGGCCACGCTGCAAGGCATTTCTTAGGTGTGTACAAAAGAACAGTTTTTCGTATCGATACGTTGATGAACTTCCTCAAAGTAAGCAAATTGCTTCCAAGCTTCTTCTAAAGTCTATTTTACCGCTAATAGATTATACACTATATTGCCCAAAGTATGTGTCCCCCCTCCAAATCACAGGTGTTCCAATTCATGTGATTCAGGTGTTCCAATCCCCTCCATATCATGTGATTCAGGTGTTCCAATCCCCTCCCAATCATGTGATTCAGGTGTTCCAATCCCCATGTGATTCCCAATCCCCTCCATATCATGTGATTCAGGTGTTCCAAATCCCCTCCAAATCATGTGATTCAGGTGTTCCAATCCCCTCCCAATCATGTGATTCAGGTGTTCCAATCCCCCCCTCCATGGACACAGGTGTATACAACCAAGCCCCTAGGCATGCAGACGGCTTCTACAAACATTGGTGAAAGAATGGGTCGCTCTCAGGAGCTCAGTGACTCCAAGCGTGGTCCCGTGATAGGTGGCCATCTGTGCAATAAGTCCATCCGTGACATTTCCTGGCTACTAAATATTCCACGCTCAACTGTTAGTGGGATTTTAACAAAGTGGAAGCAACTGGGAACAACAGCCACTCAGCCACCAAGTGGTAGGCCACGTCACATGACAGGGCGGGGTCAGCGCATGCTGAAGCGCACAGTGCGCAGAAGTCACCAACTGTCTGCAGAGTCAATAGCTAAAGACCTCCAAACTTGGTGTGGCCTTCAGATGAGCCCAACAACAGTGCGTAGAGAGCTTCATGGAATGGGTTTCCATGGCCGAGCAGCTGCATCCAAGCCTTCCATCACCAAGTGCAATGCAACGCGTCAGAAGCCGTGGTGTAAAGCATGCCGCCACTGGACTCTAGAGCAGTGGAGGCATGTTCTCTGGAGTAACCAATCATGCTTCTCTGTCTGGCAATCCGATGGACATGTCTGGGTAAGGCGGTGGCCAGGAGAATGGTACATGGCTGACTGCACTGTGCAAAGTGTAAAGTTTGGTGTAGGGGGGATTATGGTGTGGGGTTGTTTTTCAGGGGGTGGGCTTGGCCCCCTAGTTCCAGTGAAGGGAACTCTTAAGGAGACATTTTGGACAATTTCATGCTCACAACTTTGTGGGAAAAGTTTGGGGATGGCCCCTTCCTGTTCCAACATGACTGTGCACCAGTGCACAAAGCAAGGTCCATAAAGACATGGAGGAGCCAGTTTGGGGTGGAGGAACTTGACTGTCCTGCACAGAGTCCTGACCTCAACCCCATAGAACACCTTTAGGATGAATTAGAGTGGAGACTGCGAGCCAGGCCTCCTCCCCCGACATCAGTGCCTGACCTGACAAATGTGCTTCTGGAAGAATGGTCCAACCTTCCCATAGACACCCTCCTAAACCTTGTGGACGGCCTTCCCAGAAGAGTTGAAGCTGTTATAGCTGCAAAGGGCGGGGCCAACTCAATATTGAACCCTACGGACTAGGACTGGGGGGCCATTAAAGGTCATGTGCGTGGAAAGGGCGGGGCCAACTCAATATTGAACCCTACGGACTAAGAATGGGGGGCCATTAAAGGTCATGTGTGTGGAAAGGGTGGGGCCAACTCAATATTGAACCCTACGGACCAAGACTGGGAGGCCATTACAGGTCATGTGTGTGGAAAGGGGTGGGGCCAACTCAATATTGAACCCTACGGACTAAGACTGGGGGGCCATTAAAGGTCATGTGTGTGGAAAGGGCGGGGCCAACTCAATATTGAACCCTATGGACTAAGACTGGGAGGACATTAAAGGTCATGTGCGGGGAAAGACCGGCCGACCAATACTTTGGGCAATATAGTGTATATAATACAGACCAGTGTTCATATACTGTATATATAGTACAGCCTTTCTCACCCTTTTTATCCCAAAGGAACCCCTGGCAAGATTAGTGCATTGGGGATCATTGGCAAAATGAATACGCCTATCAAAGGAGTGGCCAGAATGACACCCTTGTAGTCATGCTGCTGACTCTGCCAAGTGGCGTTGGACTTGGAACTATAAAGGCCCCATCAGATTGGAGGTCATTGCAAGGTCAAGCTCAAGAAACCCCTTTTAACCCTTGGAGAAACCCTGGTTGAAAATGGCTGATATAATATATATAGTGCAGTCCGATGTTCATATGTTATACTTACCACAGTCCAGTGGTATACAGACCGGTGTTCATATAATATATATATAGTACAGTCCGGTGTTCATATAATATATATATAGTAGTACAGTCCCGGTGTTCATATATATATATATAGTACAGTCCGGTGTTCATATAATATACATAGTACAGTCCGGTGTTCATATATTATACATATACAGTCCGGTGTATCAGTACAGTCCGGTGTTCATATAATATATATAGTACAGTCCGGTGTTCATATACATATAGCACAGTCCGGTGTTCATATAATATATATAGTACAGTCCGGTGTTCATATAATATATATAGTACAGTCCGGTGTTCATATAATATACATAGTACAGTCCGGTGTTCATATAATATACATAGTACAGTCCGGTAATTCATAGTATTATACATAATATGCAGTCCGGTGTTCATATAATATACATAGTACAGTCCGGTGTTCCTATAATATATATAGTACAGTCCGGTGTTCATATAATATACATAGTACAGTCCGGTGTGTTCATATATTATACATAGTGCAGTCCGGTGTTCATATAATATACATAGCACAGTCCGGTGTTCCTATAATATATATAGCACAGTCCGGTGTTCATATAATATATATAGCACAGTCCGGTGTTCATATAATATATATAGCACAGTCCGGTGTTCATATAATATACATAGTACAGTCCGGTGTTCATATAATATACATAGTACAGTCCGGTGTTCATATAATATATAATATATATAGCACAGTCCGGTGTTCATAATAATATCATATATATAGTACAGTCCAGTGTTCCTATAATATATATAGCACAGTCCGGTGTTCATATAATATATATATAGTACAGTCCAGTGTTCCTATAATATATATAGTACAGTCTGGTGTTCATATAATTATACTTAGTACAGTCCGGTGTTCATATAATATATATAGCACAGTCCGGTGTTCATATATTATACTTAGTACAGTCTGGTGTTCATATAATATATATAGTACAGTCCGGTGTTCATATAATATATATAGTACAGTCTGGTGTTCATATATTATACTTAGTACAGTCCGGTGTTTATATAATATATATAGTACAGTCCGGTGTATATATAATATAATATATAGTACAGTCCGGTGTTCATATATATATATATAGTACAGTCCGTGTTCATATAATATATATAGTACAGTCCGGTGTTCATATAATATACATAGTACAGTCCGGTGTTCATATAATATATATAGTACAGTCTGGTGTTCATATAATATATATATAGTACAGTCCGGTGTTCCTATAATATATATAGTACAGTCTGGTGTTCATATAATATATATAGTACAGTCCGGTGTTCCTATAATATATATAGTACAGTCCGGTGTTCATATAATATATATAGTACAGTCCGGTGTTCATATAATATATATAGTACAGTCCGGTGTTCATATAATATATATAGTACAGTCCGGTGTTCATATAATATGTATAGTACAGTCCGGTGTTCATATATTATACTTAGTACAGTCCGGTGTTCATATAGTATCACCCTAATAGTAACATTTCTATATCTGGATACTGGCCAGGAGTCGGCATCTGGTTTCCTTGGCCAGGAGTCGGCATCTGGTTTCCTTGGCCAGGAGTCGGCGGCTGGTTTCCTTGGCCAGGCCAGGAGTTTCGGCGGCTGGTTTCCTTGGCCAGGAGTCGGCGGCTGGTTTCCTTGGCCAGGAGTCGGCGGCTGGTTTCCTTGGCCAGGAGTCGGCGGCTGGTTTCCTTGGCCAGGAGTCGGCGGCTGGTTTCCTTGGCCAGGAGTTTCTTGGCCAGCGGCTGGTTTCCTTGGCCAGGAGTCGGCGGCTGGTTTCCTTGGCCAGGAGTCGGCGGCTGGTTTCCTTGGCCAGGAGTCGGCATCTGGTTTTTCCTTGGCCAGGAGTCGGAGGCTGGTTTCCTTGGCCAGGAGTCGGCGGCTGGTTTCCTTGCCAGGAGTCGGCGGCTGGTTTCCTTGGCCAGGAGTCGGCGGCTGGTTTCCTTGGCCAGGAGTCGGCGGCTGGTTTCCTTGGCCAGGGTTTCCTTGGCCAGGAGTCGGCGGCTGGTTTCCTTGGCCAGGAGTCGGCGGCTGGTTTCCTTGGCCAGGAGTGGCTGGTTTCCTTGGCCAGGAGTCGGCGGCTGGTTTCCTTGGCCAGGAGTCGGCGGCTGGTTTCCTTGGCCAGGAGTCGGCCAGGAGTCGGCTGGTTTCCTTGGCCAGGAGTCGGCGGCTGGTTTCCTTGGCCAGGAGTCGGCGGCTGGTTTCCTTGGCCAGGAGTCGGCGGCTGGTTTGGCCCTTGGTTTCCCAGGAGTCGGTTTCCTTGGCTGGTTTCCTTGGCCAGGAGTCGGCGGCTGGTTTCCTTGGCCAGGAGTCGGCGGCTGGTTTCCTTGGCCAGGAGTCGGCGGCTGGTTTCCTTGGCCAGGAGTCGGCGGCTGGTTTCCTTGGCCAGGAGGCGGCTGGTTTCCTTGTTTCCCAGGAGTCGGCGGCTGGTTTCCTTCCAGGAGTCGGCTGGGCTGGTTTCCTTGGCCAGGAGTCGGCGGCTGGTTTCCTTGGCCAGGAGGCTGGTTTTCCTTGGCCAGGAGTCGGCGCTGGTTTCCTTGGCCAGGAGTCGGCGGCTGGTTTCCTTGGCCAGGAGTCGGCATCTGGTTTCCTTGGCCAGGAGTCGGCGGCTGGTTTCCTTGGCCAGGAGTCGGCAGGAGTCGGCGGCTGGCTGGTCGGCGGCTGGTTTTCCTTGGCCAGGAGTCGGCGGCTGGTTTCCTTGGCCAGGAGTCGGCGGCTGGTTTCCTTGCCAGGAGTCGGCGGCTGGTTTCCTTGGCCAGGAGTCGGCGGCTGGTTTCCTTGGCCAGGAGTCGGCGGCTGGTTTCCTTGCCAGGAGTCGGCGGCTGGTTTCCTTGGCCAGGAGTCGGCGGCTGGTTTCCTTGGCCAGGAGTCGGCGGCTGGTTTCCTTGGCCAGGAGTCGGCGGCTGGTTTCCTTGGCCAGGAGTCGGCGGCTGGGCCAGGAGTCGGCGGCTGGTTTCCTTGGCCAGGAGTCGGTCTGGTTTCCTTGGCCAGGAGTCGGCGGCTGGTTTCCTTGGCCAGGAGTCGGCGGCTGGTTTCCTTGGCCAGGAGTCGGCGGCCAGGAGTCTGGTTTCCTTGGCCAGGAGTCGGCGGCTGGTTTCCTTGGCCAGGAGTCGGGCTGGTTTCCTTGGCCAGGAGTCGCCGGCTGGTTTCCTTGGCCAGGAGTCGGCGGCTGGTTTCCTTGGCCAGGAGTCGGCGGCTGGTTTCCTTGGCCAGGAGTCGGCGGCTGGTTTCCTTGGCCAGGAGTCGGCGGCTGGTTTCCTT